TGGGAGGTTACAGGTGGGCGGACTTACTGTATGCAATAATAAAAGACAGAATATAGTTAAAGGATATGTGACAAAAATTGAAAATATGCAAATTTGACCCCAATGTCAATTTTTGGCCAATATATCCATTTGTGGATTGCGAGAAGTAACTCATTTTGTCAGCACGCCTCACATAATATGCTTTAGAAGTATAATATGTATTTTTCCACACAGGGTTCAAGGACGGGATCTCCTCGTGTGACATGAGTTCAGAGTAGGCGGAGGATTCTTGTGACCTGATCTAGTTGTTGGACGAGCTCGCTGGGAGTGCAGGATGGCGTCCGAGGGCGGGCAAACAGCGTTCAAGAACGCCGGTCTGGAGACTCCAGATGTCGTGGTCATCATTGTGTTCATCATTCTCTGCCTCATGGTCGGAATCTGGGTAATGATGAGAATAATTACAATAATGATAATAATAATGATAATAATAATAATGATAATAATAATGATGATAATAATAATAACAAAAGTAATAATGATAATAATAATAATAATAATAATAATAATAATGATAATAAATAATAATAACAATAATAGTAATAATAATAATAATAATAATAATAATAATGATAAAAATAACAATAATAATGGCAATAATAATGATAATAATAATGATAATAATAATAATAATAATAATAATAATAATAATAATAATAATAATAATAATAATAATAATAATAATAATAATAACACGCCCACACACACGGACTGTTTTCATTCAGACGAGGCACAGAACAACTATTATAGAAATAACGCGAAATGGTTATAAAGGATAGGCCCGTAGGAACAGAAAATGCTTAAGATGTCTTTTGAAGCTATCAAGTGTTCTTGTTTGTCTCAGTTCCATGCGTAATCTATCCCTCATAAATGGACCAAGATATGAGAAAGATCTCCGTACATAACCCATAGACTTCAATAATTGGTCACTGTTACGCTCAAGGCGGCTATCCCGACAAATGCTGTTTTGAGAAAATGGAAGGTAAAGCTTTTGGCCCTTGTTCAGTTTCTTTATAAGACAAGGAGTGTTTTCTCTATAACCAAACAAATATACACACCAATGAAACCAAACATCTCCTTTAGGTAGGGCAATGCCCACTTTTGGTGTAAGTCAAGATATCTAGAAGCCCCCAAATCTGAGTTTAGCCCCGCTTGTTCTTAAAAGCGACCAATGACAATAATAATAATAATAATAATAATAATAATAATAATAATAATAATAATAATAATAATAATAATAATAATAATAATAATAATAATAATAATACGTACAACAGTAACATAAATCGTTGTGTTCTGACTAAAAGAAAATCACTCGAAATATTAATAGAAATAAGGTTTAGGTAAGACGTTTTTCTGGGGATGGGGGATTGTTGTGTGTTTGTATATATATATATATATATATATGTATGTGTGTATGTATGTGTGTGCGTGTTTTTTAGGGGGAGAGGGTTGTTGGGTTTTTTAACGTTAAATATAAGCGCCCTCGGTAACCAAAGAGCAATACCATAGATGAAACATATAAAAAAAGGTATTTTCCCCAAGTATTTTCTGACGTACCGTAAAGAAAACAGAGTGCATGGTAATATCCAAAAAGGCAGCAAATCCTAGGTGTAATCTCATTAGCAACGGTGAAAAGATCAAACAAGTCCAACAGTTTAAATACCTGGGATATATGATAACATCTGATGCCAAATCTTCCACAGAAATAAAAAGGAGAACTGCAATGGCTAAGGCTAGCTTCAATAAAATGAGCCCAATCCTGAAAAACAGAAGCATATCAATGAACACCAAAATGAAAGTCCTGAAATGCTATGTTTGGTCAACCCTTCTATATGGCTGTGAATGCTGGACAATCACTAAAGACAGTGAAAATAGAATAGAGGCAACAGAAATGTGGTTTCTTAGGAGACTGCTAAGAGTATTGTGGAAGGAAAAGAAATCAAATGAGGTAGTGCTTGATGAAGCCCACGTGGGACACTCAATGTTAAAAACAATCAGGAAACGACAAATGCAGTTTTTGGGACACCTGAATAGACATAAGAGTCTTGAACATCTAGCTCTCACTGGCAAAATTGAAGGCAAGCGAGGCAGGGGTAGGCCCAGAACAACATACTTAGGCAACCTAAACAAATGGGTAACAGGGAAAGATCAGGGAAACGAAGCTTTTCTGAGAGCATCCGAGCAAAGGAATGAATGGAAAATCATGATCGCCGATGTCTGTCGCAGAACTGGCACTGGATGATGATGATTTTCTGACGGGTAATAAATAGAAGAGACGTCACAACCCAGGTAAATAGGGACATTTCCTTCTGTGACTCAAAATGATGAGGGATCTTTCTTGTGGTAAAGGTTACGATCGTTAAGGCTAGACAACATGATTGGCTCATTGGGATTGATATTTTGATTAAAATAAAACTTTTTAACTAACTCCTGTAAATCATGATATGTGAGGCAACGTGGTGGAATCAGGCGCTCGTCAAAATACAGAAATCGGACAAAAGGCATTTTTCCACCAGTTTGGAAATTTTTTATCAAAGTTTGTTTTTTGGCTCTACCTCTTTTATGTCCATATAAAAACATATTTCAAAGTGGATTTTACTGGAAACCATTGATTACAGGCTCAAAATATGTCATTTGCTATTTTAAAGGACTCTTTAGCAACTGGAGTTACCAAACATTGGCGGTCATTTTCATGCTAATTTCATCCCTGAAACCTTACTTCCTTCAATTGCAAATATCGCGAGTTCTGTTCAAGATAGATGGATATTTATTTAATTGGAAACGAGGCAAATAAATCAGGTTTTAGATGATACCAATAACTCTACATGCCCAAAAATTGACGAGTGCCTGATTCCACCGCATTGTGACACATTATAATTGTTCCTTTGATTTTTTGCTATTTTTTGTTCCAATACAGTTTCTATCTATTGCTCGGATAGGACCACAAAAGGAGACGATATAGTTTCATAGTGCTATTTTCTTTTGGGGTCAACGATTGTGTGTGGTTCTGCAGAAGACATTAGCTTCATTAAAAAATAAATTATATCTTTTGTCTTAACTTCAGTACAACACATTGGTTTATACAAACAGTATGGATAAGCTCAATAGAGAAATATACAGTGTTAAAAACCTTCTAAACGATATTGTACGTTAACTCTCTCGAGTTCACGCCCTTGTATATCGACCGATATCGGTCGATGGCCGGTGGGCCCAGAGCGAAGCCGG